TTTTAAATTATATTGCCACGTGTAAAACCATATATGAGGTTGCTAAAGACTTTTTTTTTTTTTTTTTTTTTTTTTTTTTTGAGACAGAGTCTCACTTTGTTGCCCAGGCTAGAGTGAGTGCCGTGGCGTCAAGCTGGCTCACCAAACCTCAATCTCCGGGGCTCAGCGGTCCTCTGCTCAGCCTCCCGAGTAGCTGGGACTAACAGGCATGCGCACTATGCCGGCTAATTTTTGTATATATATTTTTAGTTGGTCAATTTAATTTCTTTTATTTATTGGTAGAGACGGGGTTCTCGCTCAGGCTGGTATTCGAACCTCCTGACCTTGAGCAATCCGCCCGCCTCGGCCTCCCAAAAGTGGCTAGGATTACAGGCGTGAGCCACCAACGCCCGGCCACTAAAGACTTTTTGTTTATCACAATAAAACAGTGCATCATTTTATTTATCATTATTGTAGAAGACTGTCCTTTCTAGAGATAAGATTTTTGCATAATTTAGAGGATGCAAATTCTACTGGCAAGAATGTTAAAGGCATATATCTATTTTCTTATAGTCATTATTTTACTTATTAGGTCCCCCCCCTTGAGACAGAGTCTTGCTCTGTCGCCCAGGCTAGAGTGTAGTAGTGTCATCATAGCTCACTGCAACCTCAAACTCCTGAGCTCCAGTGATCCTCCTGCCTTCTAGCCTCCTGAGTAGCTGCGGACTGACAGGCATGTGCCCCAGTATTGACTGGTTCAATTTTCTTATTTGTAGAGATGAAGTCTCGCTTTTGTTCCCCCCCCTCCCCCATGGCTGGTCTCGAACTTCTGGCCTCAAGAGATCCTCCTGCCTCAGTCTCCCAAAGTGTTAGGATTACAGGCATGAGCCACCACACCTGGACTTATTCATGCATTTGCATTCATTCATTTTTTTTGGAGACAGAGTCACACTCTCTTGCCCTGGCTAAAGTGCGGTGGCATCAGCCTAGTTCACAGCAACCTCAAACTCCTGGGCTCAAGGGGTCCTTCTGCCTCAGCCTCCCAAGTAGCTGGGACTACAGGTATGCGTCACCATGCCCAGCTAATTTTATATCTATATTTTTAGCTGTCCAGCTAATTTCTATTTTTTTAGTAGAGACCGGTTCTTGCTGTTGCTCAGGCTGGTCTTGAACTCCCAAGCTCAAAGGATCTTCCAGCCTCGGCCTCCCAGAGTGCTAGGATTACAGGCATGAGCCACCATGTCCGGCCCTCAAATACAATTTATACATGAATTGAGTTGAAGTTGAATAGTTTTCAAAATGTCACATTTCATAAACATTTAAAGTTACTAACTTTGATATTTTTTAGGTTTTAGAATATAACTAAAGCATTTCTTTTCAGGTCTCTAAAGTTTCACAGGCCCTTGGAAAGATCTCACGCTCTAGAAATCGTGCATAAAATGAGATAAAAATGGCCCCATGTGCTGAATACTGTGCTAGATGCCTCTGATAGGAAGCGGTATAGAAAAGAGTGCCTGTTCTCCAGAAATGTCTCATCCAACTCCACATCTTTTCTTTCCTGTCCTCAGCCCACACCTGGGGACAGGAAATAAAATATGTAGTTTTTTTTTTTTGAGACAGAGTCTCGCTTTGTTGCCCAGGCTACAGTGAGTGCCGTGGCATCGGCCTAGCTCACAGCAACCTCCAACTCCTGGGCTCAAGCAATCTTCCTGCCTCGGCCTCCCGAGTAGCTGGGACTACAGGCATGTGCCACCATGCCTGGCTAATTTTTTTTTTTTTTTGGTATATATATTTTTAGTTGGTCAATTAATTTCTTTCTATTTATAGTAGAGACAGGGTCTCGCTCTTGCTCGGGCTGGTTTTGAACTCCTGACCTTGAGCAATCCGCCCGCCTTGGCCTCCCAGAGTGCTGGGATTACAGGCGTGAGCCACCACACCCAGCCAAGATATAGTTTTTGTAGTCATTGTAGTCTTCAAAAATTCTGCCCTTACTATCAGTTCTTTTCATTGTTCTGCTTAGTTATGGCATGGCCCATTTATTTTCTTGTGAACCCTTTACTTAGGACAAAAGTGTTTTAAGGCAGACAAAATGGAGTACAAAAGTAATTATAGCCATGCTGCAACGATGGGGAGACATTCTGAGAGATGTGTTGTTAGGCTATTTCGTTGTGGCAACACTGGAATGTACTTACACAAACCTACATGGTATAGTGTACTGCACACCTAGGCTTTATAGTATAGCCTATTGCTCCTAGGCTACACACCTGTGCAGCATGTTACTGTACTGAATACTGTAGGCAATTGTAACACAATGGTAAATATTTGTATATATAAACATATTGACACATTTAAAAAGATACAGTAAACATATTGTATAGGTGGCTCACGCCTGTAATCCTAGCACTCTGGGACACGGAGGCGGGCGGATTGCTCGAGGTCAGGAGTTTGAAACCAGCCTGAGCAAGAGCAAGACCCCGTCTCTACTATAAATAGAAAGAAATTAATTGGTCAACTAATATATATATAGAAAAAATCAGCCGGGCATGGTGGTGCATGCCTGTAGTCCCAGCTACTTGGGAGGCTGAGGCAGGAGGATCGCTTAAGCCCAGGAGTTGGAGGTTGCTGTGAGCTAGGCTGACGCCACGGCACTCACTCTAGCTTGCGCAATAAAGTGAGACTCTGTCTCAAAAAAAAAATATATATTGTATAAAAGATATAAAAAGTGGTACACCTGTATTGGGTGCTTATCATGAATGGAGCTTGCAGGACTGGAAGTTGCTCTGGGTGAGTTCGTGAGTGAGTGGTGAGTGCCTAAGACATTAGTGTACACTACTGTGGACTTTATAAACACTTTATACTTATATTACACTACATTTTAAAAGGTTTGTGTCTTCGATATGAAATTAACCTTAGTTTACTTAACTTTTTTACTTTATAAACTTTAAAACTTTTTTTAGCTTTTTGTCTCTTTTGTAATTATACTTAGCTTAAAACACAAACACAATGTGCAGCTGTACAAAAACATTTTTCTTCATATCCTTATTTGACAAGCTTTTTTCTATTTTAAAATTTTTAATTTTTTCTTTTTAACCTTTTTTGTCAAAAAGGAAAGACACAAACACACACATTTGTCCAGACAAAAACAAAGTCAGGATCATCAATATCACTGTCTTCCACCTCCATATCTTGTCCCACTGGATGGTCTTCAGGGGCAATAGTGAATATGCAGCTATCATATCCTATGATAACAATGCCTTCTTCTGGAATACCTCCGGAAGGACCTGCCTGAGGCTCTTTTATAGTTAGCTTTTTAGTTAGTTTGTTTGCTTGTAAATAAGTAGAAGGAGTATACTCTAAAATATTGATAAAAAGTAAAGACATAAACCATTAATGGTCATATTTATTAACAAGTATTATGTACATAAGTGTATGTGCTATACTTTTGTTTTGGGGGGTTTTTTTGAGACACAGCCTCACTCTGTTGCCAAGGCTAGAGTGCCGTGGTGTCAGCCTAGCTCACAGCAACCTCAGACTCTTGGGCTCTAGCAATCCTCCTGCCTCAACCTCCCGAGTAGCTGGGACTACAGGCATGTGCAACAATGCCTGGCTAATTTTTTCTATAAATTTTTAGTTGTCCAGCTAATTTCTTTGTATTTTTTTTAGTAGAGATGGGGTCTTGCTCTTTCTCAGGCTGGTCTCAAACTCCTGACCTCAAGCAATCCGCCCGCCTTGGCCTCCCAGAGTGCTAGGATTACAGGCATGAGCCATGGCTCCTGGCCTTGTGCTATACTTTTATATGACTGGCAGCACAGGAGGTTTGTTTACAGCAGCATCACCACAAGTACATGATTAACATGTTGCACTATGACATTAAGACAGCAACGTCACTAGGTGATAGGAATTTTTCAGCTCCATTATAATTTTATGGGATCAGTGTCATATATGTGGTCTGCAATTAACTGAAATTTGTTATGCAACAAATGACTGTAAGTTCATGTTAGAAATCAAAAGCCTAAAGGTGGCTCACGCCTGTAATCCTAGCACTCTGGGAGGCCGAGGCTGGTGGATAGCTCAAGGTCAGGAGTTCGAAACCAGCCTGAGCAAGAGCGAGACCCCGTCTCTACTATAAATAGAAATTATTTGGCCAACTAAAAATATAGAGAAAAAATTAGCCAGGCATGGTGGCGCATGCCTGTAGTCCCAGCTACCTGGGAGGCTGAGGCAGAAGGATTGCTTGAGCCCAGGAGTTGGAGGTTGCTGTGAGCTAGGCTGACACCATGGCACTCACTCTAGCCTGGGCAACAAAGTGAGACTCTGTCTCAAAAAACAAACAAACAAACAAACAAACAAACAAATAAATGTCTCAAAAAAAATAAATAAAATAAAATAAAAAAGATATCAAAATCCTAGGTCTCAAAAATATACTTTGACATGCCTGGGACACAATATTTTAATGATTTCTCTGAGTATTTGTTTAGATGTCTAGCTGACTTTATGGAGATTTTGCCTAATTTCTTTCAGGTAGACAGGTCAATCACCCATTTATTGAGTATTTATTATGTGTTTTTTGGGAAATTATGGAAAGGTGAGTCAGAATGTTCAATTCTAGGCTTATTCTAGACTGTGAGGAGCCAAAGCAAACTGCAATGATAGAAGCCTGCTTGAAGAGGTTTACACTGCATCATTCCTGGCATGTAAATATCTCTCATCCTGTTTGCAGAGTGTTTTTGAAATCAAGAGAATGGAGTAGGAACAAATCAACATTTGATTCAGAGGAGGAATCTTCAATTTCATCCAAAAGAAAGCATGTTAGAAGGAAAAAGATAAGACCATTGAAAAGTGCTGGAAACCCTGAGAAGCAACAGGTCGTAGAGCAAGTGATCACATTACCCTGTTCCATATGCAAGAAAGAAATTCGCCTAACTGATATTTTTCTCCATAAAAAGGAACATGTAGCTCTAGCCACACTGGGTTTCCAATGGATGGCTGGAAAGAAACCACGGCCCTTAATACTTTCTGTTCAGAGACAGTATATTATTTCTAAACTACTGTCATCCCGTACATTCAATGAAAAAATCCTACAGAGCATTAATAATGCTTTTGAGCTGATTTGGAAGAAAGAAATACCAGAATACTATAAGATTTTTCGTAACGTTGACAGAAGTTCCACATATTCTCAAAAAATCTGTCATCTGTTAATTAAAGGAGTAGCCATTTGTGAAGATGGTAATTCTACATGGAAACCTGACATGCATGATAAATTCACTGTAGTGAATAATTTTGGCAGCAGACCCAATGTGTGTTTTTTTGGTTTGTTTGACGGACATCATGGTGCCTCAGCAGCAGAGTTGACAGCAATGGAACTCCCAGTTTTACTACTCCATCAACTTTCCAAATGTGATCCTTCCTACCAAATGACACTTGAAGAGAAACAAATAATCAATTCCTTTCATACTGTGTTTAGAGAAGAATACTTAACAATAGAAGACCTCTTTTCTTCCGTGAACAAAAGAACAAGAGCAACGAGGAATGAGTGTGAGGACATACACAAGGCCTTTGCAAAGGCGTTTTGGAGAATGGATAGGCTTTTACGTCTTGGAAGGAATGAAGTGTCCAGAGTTCAATGGAGTGGCTGCTCTGCAGTTACTTGTGTATTAGAAGGCAGCATTAAATGTCCTTACGCTCTTAAGCATTGCAGGAAAAAGAATAACTCTGATGGACAGGCAGAGAGAGCTCCTTCTCAGAAGATGCCAGAAATAATTTCTGGAATATTACACGTTGCGAACACTGGTATGTACATTGAATAGCACCAAATAACACCTTTACATTTTTTTTTTTTTTTTTTTGAGACAGAGTCTCGCTTTGTTGCCCAGGCTAGAGTGAGTGCCGTGGCGTCAGCCTAGCTCACAGCAACCTCAAACTCCTGGGCTCGAGTGATCCTTCTGCCTCAGCCTCCCGGGTAGCTGGGACTACAGGCATGCGCCACCATGCCCGGCTAATTTTTTATATATATATCAGTTGGCCAATTAATTTCTTTCTATTTATAGTAGAGACGGGGTCTCGCTCTTGCTCAGGCTGGTTTTGAACTCCTGACCTTGAGCAATCCGCCCGCCTCGGCCTCCCAAGAGCTAGGATTACAGGCGTGAGCCACAGCGCCCGGCCACCTTTACATTTTTGATTCCTGGCAGCAAAACCTTCCAGGCTTCCAGAATTTTTCAGTATCCAAATATTTAGTTACTTAATAGTGCCTAGCAATCACATTGACCAATTTAAGAAACAACAAATAACCACAGTTTAATTGCAGATTGCAGGCACAATAATAATACTTATTTTCCAAGGAGGCACAGATACGAAATAATGTGACAAACACATTAAATTTTCCAAGAGGGATAGCAATAGAGTTGTTTATAAAGATAAAAAGCAAATATACTACATATGCTTAGATTTGAACAAAATGAAAAACGTTTTGTACACGTCCCTTTTTCAAAAGAATGGAAAACTGATTATTGTTAGTATAGTTGTTCAAACTGGTCAGTTATTCTTATAACTAATACATTTACAATAGGTCTTTCTCATGCTCACTAGCCAAGTAGCATCAGTTTCATCTCAGAGAGAATGACAGTTCATGCTTTAGTTTTATGGGCATGTATTCCTTTCTCCCAAAAAGACGGTTGTATTCTTTAACTTTATTTCAAGAAGCTAACACAACTTGGATGTCTCTAAAAAAAAAAAAATAACATAAAAAAAAAGAAGCAATTCTTTTGACCTTCACTGCTTGAAGTCTCGGCTTAGGAGCTTGCCAAAATGGAAAACCCAGACGTAAATTGTTTTAGCAAAGTTAACCTGAATTCCATACTGAGTTCCATGATACTTTTCTAGGGTTCTACTACCCCTTTCATGGTTAGAATTATTATTCATAAGAGTGTCCACTTATTGAATATGGAACACAGAGTAATTTCCTCATTTAGTCTAATAAGAACTCTGATATCTAATGTTAACTAAGTATTGTTAACCCAATGTTTCATATGAGAAATGGAAGCTAGAAATCAGTCCCACTATTATAATGCTACCTTTTAGGGAGACACAAACCCTGATGAGGAGCCTGTCTAATTCCTCATTGAGTAGGAATATGGTGGCAGAGATGACATTGCAAGGGCCATATAATCACAAAGACCATTTCAATGTCAAGGCCCCTGAAAGTCAGTTTGTTTCTGATCCAGCTTTGATTATCAGCCCAAAATAAGGAGGACTCCAGACTAAGCAATACCAAGAAGCTAAGTGCAGTGTCAATTATCTCAGAGTCATTGTCATTTTTCAGACTCTATACTGAGGCTACAAATCCTTCATGGACATATTCATTTTGGATTTCAGGCCAATCTTGGAACTGATTATATTTTGTTGGAATTACCACCCCTATAGAAAATATCATTAGATATCAATATCCCTGTAAGGTTAAATGACAAATGATGAGCTAGTCATTATTCAGTAAGTGGACACTATCATTAATGTCTAGATTCCCAGCTGTTTGTTTGGTTCTAATCTCCGGGTCTAATCTCCTGCCTTACCCTCCCAAAGCACTTGGATTATAGGCATGAACCACTAAACCTGGCCTCTTAGAACACTCAAATTTCATTCACTTTCTTAACTTGTATTATTGTTGTATATTTTAATTCCACTTAAGTAATTTTATAAGACATTATTATTTGTTTATACATTTTATACTTATTTATCTTTATTCACATGTTTACTTGTATTCTTTCTTCTCTCATCTGGAATATTTTCTCTTCTGCCTGAAATACATTCTGTATAGTTTTTGTTAGTAATGGCTTGGTGGTGGCAAACTCAGACTTTGTGAGAAATTTTGTCAAATGACATCTTTGTTTGGTAAAAATTCTAGTTAGGCAGCTATTTTCTCTCAAGTATTTTGAAGATATCTTTCCACACTCTTTTGGCTTTTATCGTAGCTGATAAAAAGCAGACCTTTCGAAGGTAATCAGTTTTTTTTTCTTTTTTGTTGCTTTTAACATATCTTTGTCTTTTTTTTTTTTTTTTTTGAGACAGAGTCTCGCTTTGTTGCCCAGGGTAGAATGAGTGCCGTGGCGTCAGCCTAGCTCACAGCAACCTCAAACTCCTGGGCTCAAGCAATCCTTCTGCCTCAGCCTCCTGAGTAGCTGGGACTACAGGCATGCAACACCATGCCCAGCTAATTTTTTCTCTATATATTAGTTGGCCAATTAATTTCTTTCTATTTATAGTAGAGACGGAATCTCGCTCTTGCTCAGGTTGGTTTCGAACTCCTGACCTTGAGCAATCTGCCCACCTCGGCCTCCCAGAGTGCTAGGATTACAGGCATGAGCCATGGCACCCAGCCTATACATTTGTTCTTAATAACTTCTTAAAATAAGGCTCCATAAACTATTTATTTACTAGTGTCCTAGCTTTATGTCCATGAGCTCACACTAGATTGAGAGATCAGGCACAACTTTACCCACTACTTCTCTATTATTCACAAATTTTTAATTGGTGGCCACCTTAAGCCTCCTTCCTTCTCTTCTCAAGTTCACCAAGTCACTCCTTTCATCTAATCCTCACAACCTATAAGGATAATCACATTTTTAATATATGAGAAGAGTGAGGCTCATCAAAGCATTATATAAGTTTACACAACCAATAAGTGAGCCAAGACTCAAGTCTAAAAGACTTGTTACTTCAAATGAACAATATGAGCTTTCTACTTTAGAGTGTCTTCATTCCTGTGTGGTCTTCTTTCATTACTGCTGCAGTATCTGCAGACTTCATTTAATTGTTTCATTTTCCTAGATTTGATTGTTTCTATAGATTTGAAAAATTTGTTCATTCACACTGGTTTAGTAAGTTGCTTTTAAATTTATTTACGTCCCGTCCCCTTTTCCCTAAAACCTAATTCAACTCCAGAACCTCCCTCATTTTATGCAGGAAAGAAACTATATATTTAAAATAATACTGACCTTTCCATATACCTCCCTTCCCCCCTTCTCCCTTTTTCTGGTGGTAGAGGGACTCATGTGTATCAACCTGATTCTGAGAACACATTTAAAAAATATTTCACAAATAGTTGAGATCCATGTGTAAAATACTGTTAGGCATTAGGTGTACAATGGTGAGCAATGTACAATGACCATGAGTTTCATGATCACACATCTTGCAAAATAAATAACCTTTTGAACATCCAATGAAAGCTAGTTCCATATTAGTAAGGCTCTCTTATGATAATCATTAGCTGGAAGAGGCACAAAGCTGCTATCCATGCTTATGATTAAACAAATTCGGCCTCCTTTGCCTAAATTACAGCCCTGAATAAAAATTAGATATAGGTTGTTTCCCTAACCTTATTTACATGCACGTTTACTTACGATCCTTTCTGACTGCTCCTTTTCTCTTCCTGGTTAACTATTTCCTCTTTTCACAAGATCCAAGTTACTGCTACCTACTGTCTTATAATTCTACTTCATAATGATTTTCTTATAATTCCATTATAAATGGGTCCGAAATGTTTCCTCTTAGTTTCTCCTGGATAGCGTCTCTCTGCCTGCTCTTCCTCTTCTGGAACACTAAATAACCTTTTCAAGTGTCTGCCTATTAAATTACCTTGTTGAATTCGCATAATAACCATAACAAATAACACTGCAGGTGAAAGACTCTTACTTAGGAAAATGAAGTCACTAATGAAGGTCACACAAAATGTTGGGATTAAAGTCTGTCAGTACCTTAAGTCTTTCTTTCCATTCTCCCAAGCTGTTTCTTCTACACCAAACTCTCTTTATTACACAATGGCAGTCTTGTCCATCTTAGGTGCTTTTTTCTTATCAACACATAAAACTTCTGTTCTTCTTTCCTCATTCTTAAAACTTCCCTGTTCTAATCAACATTAAATAAGCTTTCTGATTTTATCTGAAAAAACCTTGATCTTGCCCATTCAGCTCTAGAATTCCCTGCTTGGGATTCTAGAGCTCGCTTTTAAGCTTACTGGACTCTTCCCTCTCACAAAAGTTGAAGATAACCAGTAATCACAGGAGGAAATTGTATTATTGTCCTCTGCATAAGAAACGGACCATGCCAGTTTCAAAGGTTTCAGCATCATGTCAAAGCAGCTTGAGTCCTCATGATTATTATCCCTGAACATGTTGCTCTTCCAGTAATCCTGTTCCATTTTCATTTTGATAACATTTTCTGAAGAGCACAATCTCTCCAACTACTAAAAGCTGTTACCTTTGTGTCTAGGAATTGAATTCATTTATGCTCAGATTAAAATTTTTATGTAATGGTCTTCATCACATAGTTCACTGCTTGGTTAGCTCTTCTCATTTCCTCCAAACAGATGTTACAGAGACCCTTCTTTAAAGCCAATCTGTCCTCTCTTTTAAACTATCAGACTTGCTCCTCTCTCTTCCACTCATGTTCATGTAGTCTAAAAACAGTGACATTTTAAAATGTTCCTCCAATTTCCCATCTTCCTGGGGGCCTTTTATTCATCATCCTATTCAAGCTTTCAGCTTAATGCATGAGTTCAACAACCTCATTTGTAGCTGATAGCATGTCACTTCATGTTCAGGAAATCAAGACTATTGATTCTGCACATGTGACTTTCCAAAATCTCCATTCCATTAGTACTCTTCCAGAGCCTGGTTCCAAACTCCTGACCTTGAGCAATCCGCCTGCCTCAGCCTCCCAGAGAGCTAGGATTAAAGGCGTGAGCCACCGCGCCCGGCCTGAATCTTATTTACCCTCTATTTTCTGGGTTATATGCATGA